GGAAAGCTTTAAATTACGTGTTCAAATTTCCGAACTAACTTAACTTTGGGCATTTTAATATGGAGTAATTGGATTGAACTTCAAATTACAGGAGCAAATTTCTGAACTATTTTAGTTAGAAACGGTAATCGTTGTTGAGAGTGGGATTTGAACCCACGCCCTTTCGGACCAGTACCTGAATCTGGCGCCTTAGACCAAATAGGCCATCTCAACATTATTTTTGCTATCACAACATTGTTTTCATTTATCAATTTAAATATAAATGATTTAAATGTTTAACATTTAAATTCTTTGTTAAGAATGACACTTCGTATCCTTGGATAATAGTCCTGATTGTGAATAAAAGATTGTTGAGTGTGGTGGCCACAATTATAATTAAAAGAAAAAAATATCTTATTTATATATAGTTTCTTTGTTGGTGTTAAGTTAGTAGTTTTCTATTTTTTTTGCTAGTTGCGTCCCTTAGTGCGAGGGTTGAACTTGAATGAAACAGATGTTTTAGAGAAATGTTTTGAACTTTAAAAGGGAAAGCTTCAAATTACGGGAGCAAATTTCTGAACTAACTTAACTTTGGACATTTTAATACGGTGTAATTGGATTTGAACTTTAAAAGGGAAAGCTTCAAATTACGGCCATCTCAACATTATTTTAGTAATTACAACATTGTTTTAATTTAACAATTTAAATTTAAATGATTTAAATGTTTAACATTTAAATTCTTTGTTAAGAATGACACTTCGTATCCTTGGATAGTGCTGATCGTGAATATAAGGTCGTTGTGTGTGTTGGCCACAAGTATAATTTAAAAAAAATATATTTAATTATAAATAGTTTCTTTGTTGGTGTTGAGTTAAATTTTTTCTGTATTTTTTTTTTTCTTGGCTAGTTGCGTCACTTAGTGCGAGGGTTGAACTAGAAAGAAATTGTTGTTGTAGATAGATGTTTTGATCTTTAAGAGGGAAAGCTACAAATTACGGAAACAAATTAACGAACTAACTTAAATTTGGACATTTTAATACAGAGTAATTTGATTTGAACTTTAAAATGGAAAGCTTCAAATTACCGGAGCAAATTTCCGAACTAACTTTACTTTGGACATTTTAATACGGGGTAATTAGATTTGAATTTTAAAAGGGAAAGTTTTAAATTACGGGTTCAAATTTCCGAACTAACTTAACTTTGGGAATTAAAATGTTGAGTAATTGGATTTGAACTTCAAATTAAAGGAGCAAATTTCCGAACAATTTTAGTTAGAAACGGTAATCGTTGTTGAGAGTGGGATTTGAACCCACGCCCTTTCGGACCAAAACCTAAAGTTGGCACCTTAGACCAACTCGGCCATCTCAACATTATTTTAGCTATCGCAAAATTGTTTTCATTTATCAATTTAAATATAAATGATTTAAATGTTTAACATTTAAGTTGTTGAGGTTTCATTCTTAACAATAAATTTAAATGTTAAACATTTAAGTCATTTATATTTAAATTGTTAAATGAAAGCAATGTTGTGATAACAAAATTAATGTTGAGATGCCCAATTTGGTCTAAGGCGCCAGATTAAGGTTCTGGTCCGAAAGGGTGTGGGTTCAAATCCCACTCTCAACAACGATTGCAGGTTCTAACTAAATTTCAAAATCACGTTTGCATATCCAATTTCTCCGTATTAAAATTTCCAAAGCTTTCCCTTTTAAAGTTCAAATCCAATTACTCCGTATTAAAATTTCCAAAGTTATGTTTGTTCGGAAATTTTCTCCCGTAATTTGAAGCTTTCCCTTTTAAAGTTCAAAACATCTCTCTAAAACATCTGTTTCTTTCTAGTTCAACCCTCACACTAAGGGGCGCAACTAGCAAAAAAAACAAATAGAAAACTATTAACATAACACCAACAAAGAAACTATTTATAAATAAGATATTTTTTTCTTTTAATTATAATTATGGCCAACACACTCAACAACCTTTTATTCACGATCAACACTATTATCCAAGGATATGAAGTGTCATTCTTAACAAAGAATTTAAATGTTAAACATTTAAATCATTTAAATTTAAATTGTTAAATTAAAACAATGTTGTAATTACTAAAATAATGTTGAGATGGCCGTGTTGGTTTAAGGCGCCAGATTCAGGTTCTAAGTAAAATAGTTTGGAAATTTGCTCCTGTAATTTGAAGCTTCCCCTTTTAAAGTTCAAATCCAATTACTCCATATTAAAATGTCCAAAGTTAAGTTAGTTCAGAAATTTGAACACGTAATTTAAAGCTTTCCCTTTTAAAATTCAAATCTAATTACCTCGTATTAAAATGTCGAAAGTAAAGTTTGTTCGGAAATTTTCTACGGTAATTTGAAGCTTTCCCTTTTAATGTTCAAATCAAATTACTCCGTATTAAAATGTCCGAATTTAAGTTTGTTCGTTAATTTGCTTCCGTAATTTGTAGCTTTCCCTTTTAAAGATCAAAACATCTCTGTACAACAACAATTCCTTTCTAGTTCAACCCTCGCACTAAGGGATGCAACTATCAAAAAAAAAAAATACCGAAAACATTTGACTTAACACCAACAAAGAAACTATTTATGAATAAGATATTTTTTTCTTTTAATTATACTTGTGGCCAACACACAACAACAACCTTTTATTCACGATTAGCACTATCCAAGGATACGAGGTTTCATTCTTAACAATAAATTTAAATGTTAAACATTTAAGTCACTTATATTTAAATTGTTCAATGAAAGCAATGTTGTGGGATAACAAAATTAATGTTGAGATGCCCGAGTTGGTCTAAAGCGCCAGATTAAGGTTCTGGTCCGAAAGGGTGTCGGTTCAAATCTCACTCAACAACGATTGCAGGTTCTAACTAAATTTCAAAATCACGTTTGCATATCCAATTTCTCTATATTAAAATTTCCAAAGCTTTCCCTTTTAAAGTTCAAATCCAATTACTCCGTATTAAAATTTCCAAAGTTATGTTTGTTCGGAAATTTTCTCCCGTAATTTGAAGCTTTCCCTTTTAAAGTTCAAAACATCTCTCTAAAACATCTGTTTCTTTCTAGTTATACCCTCACACTAAGGGACGCAACTAGCAAAAAAAAAAAACAAATAGAAAACTATTAACATAACACCAACAAAGAAACTATTTATAAATAAGATATTTTTTTCTTTTAGGGTCTGTTTGGAAACCCGGAAAATGAGTCCAGATTTCTGGTGTTTGATTAGGTTGGAAAATGAGTGGTCAAAGGAAAATGAAGAGTGGTCAATGGAAAATGAGGCCAATTTTTCGGAAAATGACTTCCCCTTTTTTTGAGGGGAAGTCATTTTCCATCATTCGGTTCATCACTGCTGGAGCTGAAGGTTCATTGCCACAACATCAACGACCGTCGCCGGATACTACATCAACACCAAAGACCATCACCGGCGACCATCACCACTGTTGGAGGTTCATCCCGCTGCCGCCGATCTACCTGTCACCACCGTCGATCTACCCGTCGCTGCCGTCGATCTGCACGTCGCCGCCGTCGATCTGCACGTTGCTGCTGAGGAAGACTGAGGAAGCAACCCCAGGTACGCCGTTGCTCTGCCCAGCCACCGCGTCCGGTCACCGCCACTGCTCTGCTCTGCCATTGCTTCCAGTCACCGCCTACCACCATCACTATTGGTTGAGAAAAAAGAAAGAGGTAGACGAAGGTTTCAAGGGCCGAATCTGCTGTCCACCGCCACTGTCAAGGGTTGTTGCTTCAATTTCAATTTCAATTTCATCATTTCTATTGTTGTTGTCCACCACCGTCGCCTGCTGTCCACCACAAATTTCACCATTTCTATTTTCAATTTCAATTTCACCATTTCGATTGTTGTTGTGATTGCTGTCCACCAGCGCCGTTTGCTGTGTCCAACACCAATTTCACCATTTCTATTTTCAATTTCAATTTCACCATTTCTATTGTTGTTGTTGTCCACCACCATCATCTGCTATGTTTGTCTAAATACTTATTTCACAATTTCTAATTTTGTGCTTTGTTTATGTATAATGTTATGTTAAAAAATAATAATTTGTGATTTTTGTTTTTGGATTTTGTCATTTTCTAGAAAATGAACCAAACATACAAACACAATTTTCCGTTGTGTAGCCAACACCGGAAATGAACATGTTTTCTGAAAAATAACTCATTTTCCAAAAAACATTTTCCAGAAGCCATTTTCCTGCTTTCCAAACGGACCCTTAATTATAATTATGGCCAACACACTCAACAACCTTTTATTCACGATCAACACTATTATACAAGGATATGAAGTGTCATTCTTAACAAAGAATTTAAATGTTAAACATTTAAATCATTTAAATTTAAATTGTTAAATTAAAACAATGTTGTGATAACTAAAATAATGTTGAGATGGCCGAGTTGGTCTAAGGCGCTAAATTCAGGTTCTGGTCTGAAAGGGCGTGGGTTCAAATCCCACTCTCAACAACAATTACAGTTTCTAACTAAAGTAGTTTCGAAATTTGCTCCTGTAATTTGAAGCTTCCCCTTTTAAAGTTCAAATCCAATTACTTCAGAAATTTGAACACGTAATTTAAAGCTTTCCCTTTTAAAGTTCAAATCTAATTACCCCGTATTAAAATGTCCAAAGTAAAGTTAGTTCGGAAATTTGCTCCGGTAATTTGAAGCTTTCCATTTTAAAGTTCAAATCAAATTACTCCGTATTAAAATGTCCAAATTTAAGTTAGTTCGTTAATTTGCTTCCGTAATTTGTAACTTTCCCTTTTAAAGATCAAAACATCTATCTACAACAACAATTTCTTTCTAGTTCAACCCTCGCACTAAGGGATGCAACGATGAGTGAATATTTTACGTAGATTCAAACTCTGACAGTTACACAATGATAAAAGAGATAGAAGCCTATCTAACTAACCCCACATAATAGCTGTGGGTTACAAGACTAAATCAACTCTAACTATAATGTTACATATAATTATACTAATAATGTAACACTACTAACATACCCCCTCAAGCTGAAGGTGGTGGAGACACAACATTGAGCTTGTCCCTTAAAGAGCTGAAACGAGCAGAAGCTAGTGGCTTGGTGAAGATGTCAGCAAGTTGGTCCTTCGTAGAGACAAAATTGACCAAGAACTCCCCTGTAGACACCTTATCGCGGATGAAATGATAGTCAATCTCGACATGCTTAGTCCTGGCGTGGAACACGGGATTGGCACACATGTAAGTTGCCCCAAGGTTGTCGCACCACAATGTGGCGGGATTCCGTGACTGTAGTCCAAGCTCACCAAGTAGCGACATAACCCAGGTGACCTCTGCAGCCACGTCAGCAAGACCCTTGTACTCTGCCTCAGTAGATGACCTGGCCGCGGTCCGCTGCTTGCGAGAAACCCAAGAAACCAGATTAGACCCAAGGAACACAGCATAGCCGCTGGTTGATTTCCTGTCCATCGGACAACCAGCCCAGTCAGAGTCTGAATAAGCATGCACATCAGAGGAAGATGACACAGAAAGCCGTAAGCCATGTGTGATAGTACCCTTCACATAATGAAGAACACGCTTTAGCATGGCCCAATGTTCATCAGTAGGAGTGTGCATGAACTGGCAGAGTCTGTTAACTGCATAAGAGAGATCCGGACGAGTGATAGTGAGATACTGTAGTGCCCCTGCCAACCGACGATATTGAGTCGGGTTCTCGTAGGGATCTGTAGTCGGTGTCGCAGACTTCGTCACTGCTGCTGGTGTGGATAGAGACTTGCAATCCGTCATACCAGCACGAGTAAGAATATCATCCATGTAACGGCGTTGAGACAATAATATGCCGCCATCTAGGGGTATAGTCTCAATGCCGAGGAAGAACGTAGGAGCCCCTAAAGGTGTGAACTTTGAAAAGGTAAAAGTTCAGGTGTGAACTTTGAAAAGGTGTGCACGTGTGCACTTATATTCCTAGTTTATTAATTTATTGTCATTTATGATATTCTCCCTATTTATATTATTTAACTTCTATAATTCTCAATTTTCGATTCTTCGCTTCCGCATTATTCCGCTATATTCCTAACACAAGGAAATTTGCTCCCGTAATTTGAAGCTTTCCCTTTTAAAGTTCAAAACATCTCTCTACAACCTCAGTTTCGTTCTAGTTCAACCCTCGCACTTAGGGACGCAACTAGAAAAAAAAAATACAGAAAACTATTAACTTAACACCAACAAAGAAACTATTTATAAATAAGATATTTTTTTCATTTAATTAATCTTGTTGCCAACACACTCAACAACCTTTTATTCACGATCAGCACTATCCAAGGATACGAAGTGTCATTCTTAACAATAAATTTAAATGTTAGACATTTAAGTCAATTATATTTAAATTGGTAAGTGAAAACAATGTCGTGATAGCAAAAATAATGTTGAGATGGCCGAGTTGGTATAATGCGCCAGATTTAAGTTTTAGTCTGAAAGGGTGTGGGTTCAAATCCCACTCTCAACAACGATTACCATTTAGTTCAAATTCAATTACTCCATATTAAAATCCAAAGTTAAGTTAGTTCAAAAATTTGAACCCGTAATTTGAAGCTTTCCCTTTTAAAGTTCAAATCCAATTACTCCGTATTAAAATGTCCAAAGTTAAGTTAGTTCGGAAATTTGCTCCCGTAATTTGAAGCTTTCCCTTTTAAAGTTCAAAACATCTATCTACAACATCAGTTTCTTTCTAGTTCAACCCTAATAAAGTAGAGGGGCACTTATGTAATCTATAGTAGAAGGGCATTCTTGTATTTTATGTCCATGTCAGTTGTTCAATTGTAACAGCCTTTTGCCGGCTTCTCTCCTCTCTTATATACCCTGTGTATTATCCAGTGCAAAAGCAAGAACAAAGATAATGAACCTTTTCCTTTCTGCTTTGTAACTCCTTCGTTCTCATCATCTGGTACTTCACGCCCGCTCCTCAATATGGTATAAGAGCTACGGCGAGGTAGCTACGCAGCCGCCGTCTCCGGCACCAGAGAGTCCAGCCGGACATCACATCCGACAACACCAGCCAACCAGTCACCCGTTCACACGACCATTCCTCAAAGAAGTTTGGCTCCGCCAGAGGAACACGAACTCAGAAGACATAGAGAACCCTATGTTCTCGAGCAGCAACGAGAACGCCAATGCAATCCTTGACGGCCCTCCTCTCACAAGCAAGCAACCAGCCACAGCAGCAGCTTCTACATCTATGGGTGGTGAAGCAAGCAATACAAATGAGCAACTCCAGAGGCTCATCTCTCCTTTACAAGTTCAGATAGGGCACAACCAGCCTCCTACCCAATGTTGAAAAAATCACTAAGCGCCTGGGGACCTCCTAGAGAGCCTAGGCGGGCGCCTAGGAGGCCGACCGCCTAATTGGTGTCTAGGCGCGATTTTTGCAACAGTGCTCCTACCACAGCTGCAGTTACTCTCATGCCAAAAACCAACTCAGATGAAGGCAAGTTTATCATCAATAACAATATCAATTCTTTTTTCTTGCAATCATGATAAACATTATTTTTAGTGTTATTTTTAATAATCTGTTTATAGTTAATTTGTAATAATTAATTAATTTATATATTTTTTTATTTATTATTTTGATTAAGTAACATTGTAAATATTATTCAATTTTAGGTTGTTTATATTAAATTTATTTTATTATTTGAATTTTGTTAGTCTAATAATTCCTTGATCCTAATTTAATGATAATATTAATAATTTTAGTAGTACATGTTGAGTAGGAGTTTAATAAATGTAGATTAGTTATATATGGTGTCTAATAAGTTTTATTATTATTATTATTATTATTATTATTATTATTATTATTATTATTATTATTATTATTATTATTATTATTATTATTATTATTATTATTAGCCTATGAAATAAATTTCTTTAAGGCAAAGAGAGAAACCAGCAGCGATGGGCGAAAGAAGAGGATCGTGAATCAGACATCTGGACGACATTGTTTAATAAACTCGGTCTGCGATCCGATTGAAGCGAGCGGCGATGGATGATCCTGTTGAATAGCGAAGAGTGGAAGAATCTCCGGTGATTGCTCAATTTCATATTGAAATCTAGGAAGAAAGGTTGGTGTTGAGGAGTATAAATGGAGGGATGGATCATCGTTCTCATGATCAGGTTTTGCCCCGGACCAAATCCGGTGGCGGTGTTTTAGAATTTCAATCGGCGGCAGCTTCAATTCCTTCAGACGACAATTTCAATTCTGGCTTTCTCCTTGTTGGGCGCAGCTTCTCGGCGGTGGCTGAAACAATTTGTTCGGCAGCAGCACACACTTCACAACCACAATTCCTTTTCTTTAGGCATAATTATTGTTATTAATTTATAGTTTATTTGTGGTAATTATTAAAGGATGGTGCTTTATGAGTTAATTACTGCTATTTACATTTTACATGCATTGCTAATTCATCTTTATTGTTGTTAATTTCTTTCCTTTAGGTATCTATTGTTGGTATTGCATGAAACAATTGCTGTTAATTTATTTATGCCTTGCTAAATTTCTTAGGCTCTTCTATTTTGATTGTCAATTTTGATTCCTAGTCTTTATTCACTCACTATTTCGTTTCAAAGTTAATTCAATTATTTTCCTGCCTTTATTTTTGCCCGCGTGCCTTTATTTTTGCCCGCGTTTTCATTTAGTTTAATCCATGTTGACTGCGGTTTAGTTTAATCTATTTGTTATTCTACTTTCTCTGCTTTAATTTTATTGTTTATTTTCCTGAGTTTGATTGATCTTTATTCTTTGGCTTTTTGATTTCTAATTAGCTTTGGACACTTTAAATTGTCAAATTACATTTCGATTCAATTACTTTGCATTTAAGTTTATCCTAATCTTAATTATTGATATTATTCGTTTTTAGAACTTTAAATTGTTAATTTAATCATTTTCAATTTATTAAATTGCATCGTACAATTCCCTGTGGGATCGACCCTTGCCTTTGCACACTATCATTACACTGACTCGTGCACTTGCGAGGACATATATAAAATTGTCCATCAAATCATCCACTTGGATATTGGACTCTGGGGCCACGGATCATATAGTATGTTCTTTGGATTTCTTTGAGACTTATCATTGAAAAAACACGTGAGTCTTGAATGCAAGATTTAGCTCTTAAAAACTTTGATTTATTTCAATTATAAAGCTGGACTAGATGAAAACATATTCTAGATATAATAAAGAACACGAAATAAATAGCAGTAAAAGAAAGCATGCACCAGGATATGTTCACGCAGTTCGGAGCCTCACTCCTACGTCTGCGGGGCCACTTACATCAACCCAAATCCACTATGATAAAAACGGAGTACAAGAGGAGAGTTAATTACACACTAAAGTATAACCTATAACTACTCCAGAACCTACTCCAGTGGATCCGATGTGCAGGCGTTCTTCATTGCTTCATGATCTGATTACAAGATCTTCTTCACACTCAACAGTACAGGATGTATTTGGTATAGATGCACCAAGATTTTCAGAGTAAAACTATATGAAAGAGTGCATAACGGAATGCTAATTAAGGTAGCATTATATATAGGTTGTAAAGGTTGTTTTGATCCTCAAAACATGCACTCTTCTCTTCCTTGATTTCGGCTGCTCCATTAGATTTAGATCTCCCCATTGATAGGGTCTTGAATAAATACTTTGAACAAGCTTCATACCTCCTGGATTACTTCCTTGCGCTGATCCAGTCAACTACTCCAGACGACGTGACTAATCCAGCAACTAATCCAGTACTACTTTGACAACTAATCTAAGCCAATAATAAAGAGGTTTAAATGTGCAATATATTTACACTTACAATCTCCCCCTTTGGCTATTAGTTGACAAAACCACTAAAAGATATCATCGGCTTTAATAAACAAAATAATTACCAAATGACTAACCTATACAATAGAAAGCGGATTAGTCACTAGTCAAGAGTAGCTAGACACACACCCTCCTTAAACTTAACCAATGTTGTGCCAGAGAATTTCAAACACAATTAAAGCATACAAGCACATAGAAAATTAAAGCACAAAGAGACACAGACCACATAAATATCACATAATATAGCTGCATAGCATTTATCACAGAGTCAAGGCAAAACACGCAGAACCTTAACACATACAAAAGAAAAATAAAGGTAGAGCACACCACATTATTCACTGGCACTTATGGCTAAGTTCACAAAAACGTACTCCCCCTTACTACGTGCACTCCCCCTTTTTGTCAAGCTAATGGGCAAAGAGCAGCATCAGGACTGAGTGGAGGAGGAGGAGGTGTCCAAGTCTTCATCATCACCAGCAGGAGCAACAGTAGAATCATTCTCAATAGAGGCAATCTGACGATTGGTGCGGAGCAGCTGAGCCTCGGCAGTAAAGATGGAAGATTGAATGGCTAGAGAGGCATCCTTCATGGTAGCAATGTGTGAAGTAGAAAGGTGACTTGTTGACGAAGAACAGCCAGTGTCGAAGCAGAATCCGTAGCAGAAGCAGTCGGTGTAGAGTCCAGGCCTGTTGCTGGAGTACCAGCTAGAGCAGGGGCAGGTGGAACTGAGGAGAGAGTGGCCCGATCATCATAGTGTGACCTTTGGAAGATGCGAGAGTCCATAGAAGTCTTGTGAGTAACGTGGCAGAGCTCTTCATTGGAATAGAGTTGAAACCCTTGTTGTTGCAGAATCCCGATGATAAGGCATGGAAAAGGGAGATGAATCTTGGCTTCCTTCTTTTTAGCAAAACCCATGATGTGATGATAGATGAGGTGACCAAGATCAATAGACAGTTGATGTCGAACTTTGTATAACAGAGAGGCCATCTTCTTATTGACAGTGTGCACAGAAACATTTGAGATCCAATTGGTAGAAGCTAGGCGAAACAGAACCGAATAGACTGCAGTAAGCACATTCGAAGGAAGACCATCCTTTGGCCAGACGTTGATCTCATTGTGGGTAAGATGTGATGCAAGAAAGTCCCCAGCAGGCTCAAACAGATCATCACACGCATCACGCTGAAAATAAGCATTAATAATAGAGGGACTGAAATCATACCAAACATCCCGGAGGAAAACCTGATGATAATGCGGAGATACTAGCCAAAGAGACTCAGAAGTGAGATTGGCATAGAATTCCGGAATGAGCCAGGCAGAGTAAGCTCTCACATTCTGGATAGTCTGGAGAAGGTTCTGAGCACGAAGAAGAGGAATGATGTTGCACATACGGATGAGGTACTCAATACTGAAATTCTTCTCAACCAAGATGTCACACTTTGAATGTTGTTGCCAGACTGTTTCCAATGCCGGAGAGAGCAGAATTGGTCTGAACAAGGTCTCCTTGGATACCTTGGAGGTTTTGGACCTGGATGATGCTGCTGGCTTTGAAGCAGGAACAGAGGCTGGAGGAGGAGCTGGAGTAGACACACCAGTTTTCGATCGCGTACGCAGAGCAAGACCTGTAGGACGATGTTCAGAACGCTTGCTAGGACGAGATTCAGAGACAAATTCAACATCAACAGACATATGAAGCTTTCTCTTAGACATTTGAGCTGGAACAGGTGCAGCTGGTGCTTCATCTGGATCGGTAACTTTGGCTTTCCCTTTGGCCTTCGATGTAGCAAACGGCACTCTGATAATTTGGACAGCAGTTTGTGCACGGGCAGAGTTAGGCATATTTGCAATGGTGTCGGAGATGGTGGCTACTTGAACTGATGGATCCTCAGGTTCAAAAACTATGTCCCGAATCGACACCTCAACATCCTCTGGAACAGAGCCTAGAGCAGAGACTGGATCAACAATAGCTAGATCTGAGGCTGGAGCAGTGGTTGGATCATGTGAATGCTCAGCCATTTTGAGAGTGGCCTTGTCGGAGCGTTGAGGTTGGGAACCTGTGAAAGCAATCGTAGACAGAGGCACAATAGACATACCAGTAGAGGGATCCTAATTTCGCAAGACAAAAGCATATTCTCAAAAACACACCATATATATCCAAGACAATATAGGCAAATTAAAGCACAAAAATGCGACGCATGCCTAATTTACAAGCAATAAGATATTTCTTCCTAAGAGATTAGAGAAATCAAACCGTGTATAGATCCCGTGGTTGCCGAGCCCGAAGCTCTTCCTGAAGGCTTTCCTCGTCTAGGATTTCGTCAAGTGGCCATGGGTCATCCGTGATCCCTGATGCTCTGGAGAAAATCTCCTTGGAGTCCTTTACAGATAACTCCTCCATCAGAGAAGGATGTCGAAGAAGCGTTGCAAGAACCCGGCGAGCAGAGATGTCCAAAATCGGAGCTGTGCCCCGAAGAATTTGACGATAGAGATCTAAGCGCTCATCTTCCGTGAGGTAGAAAAGGAACGGATTAAGATCAGAATGACTAGTCATAAGAGAGATAGGTACAATCGGATCGATTGGGTAGAGGATTTTTGCAAGGATTCGAAGAATTGGATGGAAGATTTTAGGAGAGATTTTAAAGGTAAGTGAGAGTAATTGTAGGGATTGGATTCTATAAATTTGGGGAAGAAACGGTGGTGTATAACAGCCATGTGAGAGAAAGAATTAATAAAAAATTCAGAGTAAATAGTGCGGTCACACGGCTTAATTTTTGGTCTGGAGAACCTACTGGAGTGGAGAGCAGAGCTGGAGGATTTTCTGGATTAGATCTGAAAAGAGAAAAAAAACAAACACGAAACAAAAGAAACAAAAAAAAACAAACTTTATTTTAGCTACAAAGTAAATTTAGATTGAAAACCTGCACACTCCAGGAGCAGCTCGAAGTAACTCAAATCTTGTGTTATCAAGAGGCTTTGTAAATAGATCAGCTAGATTTTTCTCTGTTGAAATGTACTCCAGGTTGATATCCTTGTCTTCTACTAATTCTCTTATCAAATGATGTCGTATTTCAATATGTTTAGTCCGGGAATGTTGAACTGGATTTTTGGAGATGTTGATAGCACTAGTGTTGTCACAATAGAGAGTCATGCACTCTTGACGTAGACCATAATCCTGAAGCATCTGTCTCATCCATAGGAGTTGAGTACAGCAGTTACCAGCTGCTATATATTCAGCTTCAGCTGTGCTGAGAGATATCGAGTTTTGCTTCTTACTTAGCCAGGCAACTAAGTTTTTTCCAAAAAAGAAACACCCACCAGATGTACTTTTGCAGTCATCTGCATTTTCGGCCCAGTCGGCATCACTGTATCCTACAAGATTCAGATTAGTATCATTCGAAAACCAAATGCCATAATTGAGAGTACCTTTGACATATTTGATTATTCTTTTCACGGCTTTAAGATGTGATTCTTTAGGAGCCGCTTGAAATCTGGCACATATTCCAACACTGAGCATAATTTCTGAACGGCTGGCTGTCAGATACAGTAGACTCCCGATCATGCTCCTATATAAAGTAGGATCAATTGGCTTCCCTGATTCATCTTTGCTTAATTTTGTAATTGTAGATATTGGCGTTCTTGCTTCTTTTGCTGACTCAAGTCCAAACTTTGTTAGCAGGCCTTTTGCATATTTTTCTTGAGATATAAAAATACCTTCATTGGTTTGTTGGACTTGTAGTCCTAGAAAATAGGTTAGTTCGCCGATCATACTCATTTCGAATTCCTGTTGCATGACTTGAACCAGCTGATCTGTAGCACCTGTTTGAGTGGAACCAAAGATAATATCGTCAACATAAACCTGAGCAATTGTAATATGCTTACCTGACCTTTTGAAAAATAAGGTTTTGTCAACTCCCCCTCGGTTGTAGCCGTGCTGGAGAAGATACTGGGATAACCTTTCATACCAGGCCCTTGGAGCTTGTTTTAGACCATATAGAGCCTTGTCCAGTTTGTAGACATGGTCAGGATGATGAGGATCTTCAAACCCTTTCGATTGAGCAACATATATATCTTCGGACAGATATCCATTTAGAAAAGCCGTTTTGACATCCATCTGGAACAACTTTATCCCTAAAGCACATGCTATGCATAGAAGAAGGCGAATAGATTCTAGACGTGCTACTGGTGCAAAGGTCTCTTCATAATCTATACCTTCAATTTGAGAGTAACTTTGTGCAACCAGTCTTGCTTTGTTGGGAGCAATGTTTCCAGCTGAATCAGTCTTGTTGCGAAAAATCCACTTTGTTCCTACAACATTCACAACGTCAGGTTTAGGGACAAGATTCCATACCTTGTTACGCTCAAATTGTCCGAGTTCTTCCTGCATAGCTTTAATCCAATGTTCATCCGATAGGGCTTCTTTTACCGTCTTGGGTTCGATCTTTGACGTGTAACACATATACCCTGCAAGCTCAAGATAATTTTGTTTAATTCCTCTAGTTCGTACTCCAGAGGATGGATCTCCTATGATGTTTTGTGTAGGATGATCTTTGTGAGTTCGGACAGCCACTTCGAGTGCTCCAGCATCTGGTTCTGGACCAGGTTCTGGACTAGGAGATGGAGGAGTCGGAGTAGGATCTGATGATGCAGATTCAGGGGGTTCTGGATTATTTGTGTCGGGTTCTGGAGTAACTTCTGGATCAGAGACTCTTATAACCTCGATTATTTCCTCAGGTTGATCATCAACCACCACGTTTGCCGATTCCATGATGGACTTTGTAACTTTGTTGTAGACACGGTAGGCACGACTATTCGTTGAGTACCCAAGAAAATACCCTTCATCGCTTTTAGGCTCAAATTTTCCAGTTGGGTTTCGGTCCTTCAAGATAAAACACCGTGAGCCAAAAATATGAAAATAGTTAATATTAGGCTTCTTACCTTTCCATATTTCATATGGAGTGTGATGCGTTCCAAGTCGTAGATATACTCGGTTTATCGTGTAACAAGCAGTACTTACTGCTTCAGCCCAAAATCTCTGAGGCAAATCCTTTGCATTTAGTAGAACCCGAGCCATCTCTTGAATCGTCCGATTCTTTCTTTCAACAACGCCATTTTGTTGTGGCGTTTTCGGTGCTGAGTATTCATGAAAAATACCGACTGATGCCCCCCAATCATCAAATACTTGGTTGTCAAATTCACGTCCATGATCACTCCTCCACGAAAACCGAGAAAAATCGTCAACAAAAACTAAAATGTACCTTTTACCTCCAATGCTTTCTGTTCGTGTAGGACCAATGAGGTCCATGTGAATGAGTTCCAGGCAGTGTGTAGTATTTATCATATTTTGAGCGGTATACGCTGCTCTAGTTTGTTTTCCAGCTTGGCAGGCAGTGCATACTCCAGCTGTTTCAACCTTGATATTAGGTAGACCTCGTACACCCTCAATCTTGATTAACTTTTCAAGTGAGCGATAATTTAAGTGGCCTAACTTTTGATGCCACATTTTTTATTCTTTTATGCTGGACCTGTAACAATAGGAATCGTTAGTAAGTATATAGCAATTATCAGAAGAGCGTTTACCTTCCATGACACAGTTCTTTTTGCAGTCTGTGACGTTGCAGCTGTCTTTTGTAAAGCAGACTTTCCACTCCTGATCACATAATTGGCTGATACTAATCAGATTTGAATGCAAACCTTCCACCAAGAGAACTTGTTTGAGTTTGGGTAGACCTGTGACATTTAGAGTGCCAATTCCAGTGATCTTTCCCTTAACACCATCGCCGAAAGTTACTTCTCCTGTACTTCCCTTTATATTGTTTAGAAACTTAGCCTCACCCGTCATATGCCGCGAGCATCCACTATCGAAGTACCATCTCTCTTTTCTGTTAGTACTCGTAGAGTGGAAAGAGACATGACAGACAAAGTCACTTTTCTTCACCCAAATTTGCTTGATAAAAGGAGTGATAGACTTGTTTGTGTATTTCTCAAAACGTTGGTCTTTGTAGAAGTAGAAGCACTCCGGTTTTGTATGTCCGCGTACCCTGCAGTAATGACATATAGGATTATATATTCTAATCTTGATTGAATTTTTTCTTTGAGCAAATTTGACTTGACGTCGAGCTATACTAGTTTCTGGAATATCTTGATCGGCTCCAGAGACTGGGTCAGGGCCTGAGGCTTTGACGAAAATTGTAGCCGCTTTGTCCTTTCCTCCAGAGTAGCCTAACCCATATTTTGTAGATTTCTTTCGTCCAGACTCTAAAATTTGGTCTAAAGTGGATGTGTTGTCCATCATTTTTATCTTGCGTTTGAGTTGCTCCAGTTCCTTTTTGAGATCTTCCAGCTCATGTTTGAGAGTTTCTTCTTTCTTGAGACTGTCTTCAATGATGCTGTCCCTGTCTGATATTTTGGATAGATACACCTTTTTGGCATTTTCTAGAATGCTAACCTGACTAGACAGAGATCTATTAACTTTTACAAGTATTTCCCATTTTGCATACAATTTTTTATATTCTACTTCAAAAGAAGATGCAGGTAAATCTTGGTCTTCTGATGACACATACTCTTCAATTTCTTATTCTTCGCCAGTTGTAGAAGCAGGTACTGTAGTTGTAAGAGCTGTAAAGGCAACAAAGTTTCCGGAGATCTCATCTGGATCAAAACCTGGATCAGTTTCTGGTTCATCATCATTACTCCAGGTAAGGGCAACTTTCATTGACTTCTTTCTTCGCAAATAGGTTGGACATTCAGCCTGCACATGGCCATACCCTTCACATTCATAACATTTGATCCCTTTGCCTCCGGTTTTGTCTTTAGATTGAGAGTTCCTAGATGCACCTGGTCGTTGGCTGGATGAGTTTGATCTTTGATTGTTTCGATTTGCACTCGATCCTGATCCTTTTTTACCTTGAAACTTGCCAAGTTTTCCAGTTTGTCTTTGTTTTACCTGTTGCAACAATTTAGAAAAACCTTTAGTTAAAAAGACTACTGGATCATCACTTACCTCATCTGGATCAGAAACTGCTCCAGCGTCTTCTACAGTGAATGCTACGGTTTTTCCTTTTGTTTCAGGTCCGCCTAAGATTTTCGTCTCATAAGTTTGTAGGCTCCCCATCAATTGTTGTACCGTTTTCTTTTCCCATCCATCGTGCTCCTGAATGGCTGTGACTTTCATTCGAAACCTTGGAGGGAGTGAGCGAAGAATCTTTTTGACGAGTCTTTCTTGAGTGATTGGTTCGCCTAGAATGCTTGCCCTATTGGCTAGTTCTTGTACCCGAGCATGAAAATCCACTATGGTTTCATCATCTTTCATCTTTAGATCTTCAAAGTCGGTTTGAACCATTTGAAGTTTGGATTGTTTAACCGATGCAGTTCTTTCATAGGTAGTTTCTAAGGCATCCCAAGCTTCTTTAGCCGAATCACACCCTGCAACAATGGTAAATTGACTCTCATGCATTAAAGAAAATATAGTATCTAACGCTTTATGATTGTAGCTTGCGGTAGTTATCTCAGTCTCTGTCCATTCTTCCTCTGGTTTGAAGGCTGGAGGATCTCCTGTATTGTCTCCATCTTTGGTAGGATGAGACCAACCAGTGAGAACAGCCCTCCAAACCTTCTCCCCTTGAGCTCGTAGATGAATTTTGGTGCGGGCCTTCCAGTACGCATAGTTGTCACCTGTTAGTTCAGGAGGTGCTCTATGTCGTTCCATGCTGTAAGACTCAATGCACAGTGAGCAACAAGTAAACTAGACAAGCAGAAATAAAAACAGATACTGAGATCTTGAGTTCAAAAAACACGTGATAGCCAGATCGGTTAGACTAGTAATTTAAGTCCCCGAGCTCTAATACCAATTGAAAAAACACGTGAGTCTTGAATGCAAGATTTATCTCTTAAAAACTTTGATTTATTTCAATTATAAAGCTGGACTAGATGAAAACATATTCTAGATATAATAAAGAGCACGAAATAAATAGCAGTAAAAGAAAGCATGCACCAGGATATGTTCACGCAGTTCGGAGCCTCACTCCTACGTCTGCGGGGCCACTCACATCAACCCAAATCCACTATGATAAAAACGGAGTACAAGAGGAGAGTTAATTACACACTAAAGTATAACCTATAACTACTCCAGAACCTACTCCAGTGGATCCGATGTGCAGGCGTTCTTCATTGCTTCATGATCTGATTACAAGATCTTCTTCACACTCAACAATACAGGATGTATTTGGTATAGATGCACCAAGATTTTCAGAGTAAAACTATATGAAAGAGTGCATAATGGAATGCTAATTAAGGTAGCATTACATATAGGTTGTAAAGGTTGTTTTGATCCTCAAAACATGCATTCTTCTCTTCCTTGATTTCGGCTGCTCCATTAGATTTAGATCTCCCCATTGATAGGGTCTTGAATAAATACTTTGAACAAGCTACATACCTCCTGGATTACTTCCTTGCGTTGATCCAGTCAACTACTCCAGACGACGTGACTAATCCAGCAACTAATCCAGTACTACTTTGACAACTAATCTAAGCCAATAATAAAGAGGTTTAAATGTGCAATATATTTACACTTACAATCATTTAGTGAAGGGAATGGCACTTAACCTACCTAATGGAAAACAAGCAGAGGTAGCACACGTGGGAGATATTAAAATGAAGAATAGTTTGTGTCTGAGAAATACTTTGCATATACCGTCATTCAATTTCAATATCATATATCTTAGCAGGCTTCTTCAAGACTCATCTCATGAATTAATTTTTACTTCACATCAATGCATCCTTCAGGGAATCATGGGAAGACATTGGTTTTTGCTAAGGAATGAAACGGCTTATATTTGATGCTTGAAACACCAGGAATTCAAACATCTGGTCCTAAACATTTTGCTATGCCTTGTAGAACTAAAGTATGGCATCAAAGGCTAGGACATTTCCCTTTGAATAAGATGCATTTGCTTACTGATGTTCATGTTTCTCATTCCAAGAAAATAGCATGAGATGTTTGCCACTTTGCAAAACATAAGAGATTACCTTTCCCTTTAAGCAATACAATGTCTAAAGTGTGTTTTGAATTGATTCATGTTGATATTTGGGGGCCTTTTGTTGTTCAGTATTTGGGAGGGGAAAGGTACTTTCTAACAATTGTAGATGATCATTCACGATACACGTGGATCCATTTGATGAAAAGCAAATCTGAAACACGAAGCCTAATGAAGATGTTTCAAAAGATGGTTCATACTCAATTTGGTCTCACAGTTAAGACTATCAGAAGTGATAATGGTCTGGAGTTTGATATGAAGGACTTCTTTGCTGAAAATGGAATAATCCACCAGAAAACCTGCGTCAACACACTGCAACAAAACGCAGTAGTTGAACGTAAACATCAGCATATTTTAAATGTCGCTAGGGTATTAAGATTTCAAGCTAATCTTCCCTTAAAGTTTTGGGGACAATGCATCCTACATGCAGTTTTTCTTATTAATCATCTCCCGTCACCTATCATCGAATGGTCAAGTCCTTACAAGAGGCTATATGGGAAGGAGCCGAATCTTAACACCCTCAAGGTTCTTGGATGCTTATGTTATGCCTCCACCTTGCCTCAATCAAGACACAAAATGGATCCTAGAAGCAGAAAATGTGTCCTTATTGGAGTGCCTGCAAACATAAAAAGGTACTTAGTATATGACTTGCATGATCACTCTATTTCTATCTCACGTGATGTTATTTTTTATGAAGGACAATTTCCTTTTGCCAACAAGGAACACCAACTTGCTGATGATATGCACTCACTAGATGGCCCTCCTCTGCCTATAATTCCCACATTCAACTGTGAGGAATTTGAATTCCATGCTTCTCACAACAATCAAACACACGTTGCTAATAATCCAATGGATAGTAGGGGTCCTTGAACACCAGCTAGCCGCACAGTATTCCAGATCACCCCACTCCCATGCAGACTACTCAAGACAACAACTCTATCCTTGAACCATTGGATAATAGAGATGATGGAATAATGGAAAATGTTGTACATGAACCAATGGATAATAGCAAGTCTTCGACTAGTCACTCTCCAATTGACTTTGGCAGTTCCTCACACTCCGCCCAAAACAACATTGATGAAAGCATAAATACATCTCCTACACAGCCAAGACGATCCACCAGGCAGCGTCACGTGCCAAGCCGCCTACAAGACTATTATTGTGAGTCTGTTGTGATTACTACCCCTCATCTCCTATCAAAGGTCATCTCTTATGACAATCTTGAAACACCACACCAAGTTTTCTCAATGGCCGTTACTGCCATCAATGAGCCACAAACTTACTCCCAAGCTGTTAAGCACGAGTGCTGGAGGAAAGCAATGGATGCAGAGATTGATGCTCTACAACAAAACCAGACTTGGGAGCTAACAGACCTCCCTCCTGGCAAGAGCCCCATAGGGTGCAAATGGGTCTACAAAACCAAGCTAAACGCAGATGGAACAATAGAACGGCACAAGGCAATATTGGTTGCAAAAGGTTATACCCAACAACTCGGGGTAGATTACTTAGAAACTTTCTCTCCGGTTGCAAGGATCACAACCATTCGTACATTCCTTGCAGTGGCAGTTTCGAAAGCATGGCCTATCCACCAAATGGATATCAATAACACATTTCTCCACGGGGACCTCAATGAAGAAGTCTACATGATGTTGCCCTTGGGATTCCAGAATGAGAAACCTAACCAAGTCGGCTGGCTGTTAAGATCTTTATATGGCCTCAAACAAGCCAGTAGAAGTGGAACGCAAAGTTGAGTGATGCGTTGTGTGGTATCGGGTTCATGCAATCTAAATCAGATCCATCTCTGTTCACCAAAGGGAATGCTGCCAACTTCATTGCTTTGCTCGTTTATGTTGACGATATCCTATTCACAAGCGCCAAGTTGGATCTCATCCAGGAACTGAAACTCTTTCTGGACAACACATTCAAAATCAAAGATTTGGGAGCCCTTGGTTACTTCCTAGGGATTGAAGCAAAGATAACCAAGAAGGGTCTAAATTTGTGACACCGAAAATATGCACTGGAGATTCTAGAAGACGCTGGTTTCATTGGATGCAAATCTGCAAGCACCCCAATGATACAAAACATGAAACTCAACCTTGATGGTGAACCTCTTGCAGATCCCAGTACCTACAGAAGACTGGTAGGGAAGCTACTATACCTAACGGCCACAAGACCTGACATATCATTCCCATACAGCAATTAAGCCAATTTGTAAATGCCCCCCCATAGATCAACATCTGACCGCTGTTCATCGTGTGCTAAGGTATATTAAAGCCTCACCAGGTCAAAGTCTTCTCTACCCTACAAATATGGATATGCAGCTCAAAATTTTTTTCAGATTTCGATTCGGCATCATGCAGTGAAACTAGGAGGTTAATCACGGGTTACTGTATGTTTCTTAGTCCAGCATTGATCTCATGGAGATCCAAAAGCAGGCTACAGTGTCCAAGTCATCATCCGAGGCCGAGTATCGCGCTATGGTTGCCACAGTTTGTGAGGTGCAGTGGCTCACAACTCTCCTCCAAGACCTGCAAGTAAAAATGGACAAACCAGCCACCATGTATTATGATAGCAAGTCATCGATAGCAATTACCGAGAACCATGTGTTCCATGAACGCACCAAACACATCGATATTGACTGTAACATTGTCCAAGAAAAGCGAAACCAAGGGTTAATCAAATTACTGTCATTGTTGTCCTCAAATCAAGTAGCGGTCGGGTTCACCAAGCCACTACCGGTCTCCCTATTTCGCCATTTCGTTTCTAAACTGGGCATACAGAATTTGCATGCTCCAATTTACCGGGGGAGAGGGGGGGGGGGGGGGGGGGATCACTAGCTACTGGCTAAGATTTAATAGCATTTTATTTGAATTTCCTTAACAGTTGAATGAATAAGGGTAATCTCGTAATTGGACTGTGCATTTAAAAGTGATAATATATTATTTTGGAATAAGAGTCAAATAGGCCCTCCAACTGCACAGAATAATGCAATTAGGCCATTGAACCTAAAAAATCAACAATTGAATCCCTAAACTAACAAATTTCAAACAAATCTTTCAATTTACAGGTTTACAACAGGTCAACAAGTCATCATCTCAAATTAATTATTTTTTTAAAAAATAGTTTAAAAATTAATTATTAAAAAAAACAAATAGGACTCCGGCCGGAGCAGTTTCTTCCTCTCAACGGTCGGAGCAGTTTCTTCTTCTGATCGTCCTTATGAGCTTTCTCTTTTATCTGCTTCAATGCCGACATTAGAACAGTGATATCTTCGGAGAGATCGGCATCGAAGTCCTCTTCGAGGATGGCTCGCTTCCGGTTTCGGCTGCTCTGCTCCGATTCCAAAACTCGCTTCTTCGCGCTCGATTTCGTCGCTGACATTTGTGAAACTATTGAAGAGATCGCTGTGTTGGAAGTTGAGGAAGAATGATGAAGATGATAGTGTGTGCTGTGAGAGGAAGTGTGGACAAGTTGTAAGCTTTAGGCGCCAAGGTCGAGTCATAGTGACGAAGTAAAAATAAATAAATAAATAATAATTAAAAAATAATTAATTTGGGAGGATGACTTGTTGACCTGTTGGAAACCTTTCAATTGGAAGAATTGTTTGAAATTGATTAGTTTAAGGACCCAATTGTTGATTTTTTAGATTCAGTGGCCTAATTGCATTATCCTG